TCATCGCTAAACATTGGAAGACACAAGATTTACCCACACTGGAGGAATGGCAGATGAAACTAATGGACTATATGGAATTGGCAGAAATGACTGGCAGAATCCATGACCAGGGAGAAGAGTCGGTGGAAGAAGATTGGAAGAAATTTAAAGACTACTTACAGAAATATTGCAAAATAAATGAATGTTAGAATGATGTTGGATTGAAGTTAAGTGGTTTCTAGCTGTATAGGTACAAAAGAATATGGAAAAATTGGTTTTTAATTTGTAAAAATCTAATGTTACAATATATCAAGATTGAGGATTAGGATTAAAAAGGAGGGAAAGGAATTGTTGGATTAACAAATTGAATTGGAATACAAAAGAGGGAGGTATGAGGAGGTCAGGGAAACAAGGATACGAATGTAAGGCATGGAAAGATTGATCTATTTTTTTTAAGTGTTTTTTATTCTTTTATTCTGTATTTTGTATTTTTCTTGTATTTTTATTTCTGCCTTTTGCTTTTGCTTTTCTTGTTTTTTATGTAACTCTTTTTTTTGAAATTTTAATAAATATCATTTAAAAAAAATAATGCACGTGCCAGGGTAAAGCCTGCATAAATATGCACCGATTAGAGAAAATAGAGAGAAATTGCTTTGCAAAAAGGTGCGGATTGGGCAAAAGCAGATTGGAAAATGTGATACGCAGAGCCATCTTTCTTATTGGGCTTACTGGCGCGTTGTGCCAGGGCGCTGGCCTCTCAGGAGCACCCCAGCGAGTGGGGGAGCTGTGCGGCTTCGCCAGCGGCCTCCCCTTTCCCCGCACGCACGCCAGCTGTGCCCTGTCAACCACTGAGAGCCAGTGTGGTGTAGTGGTTAAGAGCGGTGGACTCGTAATCTGGTGAACCGGGTTCGCTTCCCCGCTCCTCCACATGCAGCTGCTGGGTGACCTTGGGCCAGTCACACTTCTTTGAAGTCTCTCAGCCCCACTCACCTCACAGAGTGTTTGTTGTGGGGGAGGAAGGGAAAGGAGAATGTTAGCCGCTTTGAGACTCCTTGTGATAGAGCGGGATATCAAATCCAAACTCCTCCTCCTCCTCCTCTTCTTCTTCTTCTATGGCTGGCAGGCATGCAGCTTGCCTCCCAAGCCTCCATGGGAGGAGAGCGATCCCTGCAGAGGCTTAGGATGGAAGCTGCACCCTGCCAGCTACAGTGGTTACATACGCTTCTGCTAAACCAGAAATAATACCTCAGGTTAAGAACTTTGCTTCAGGATGAGAACAGAAACCGTGCGGCAGCAGTGCGGTGGGAGCAGGAGCCCCATTAGCTAAAGTGGTACCTCAGATTAAGACCGGTTTCAGGTTAAGAACGGACCTCCAGAACAAATTAAGTTCTTAACCCGAGGTACCACTGTATATGGCTGGTGGGCATGCAGCTTGCCTCCCAAGCCTCTGAGGGGGGAATGCGATCCCCGCAGAGCCTTGGGGAAAGGTTGATAACTCTGGGAAAGGGGGGTGGTGGTGCTGGAGGGATCTTTGCACCACGGCGCCGGATATGCTTAAGACGGCCCTGGTGATAGGATGATTTGCACCAAAACGCTGCTAGATTTATATGAGGACTTTGGGGAGGGGGGAAATGCAAACTGAAGCAGGGCCTTGCAGAGCCAGGCAGAGGTCCGGGCCAGGTAGATAATGTGCCCCCCTCTTTTTTTACCCTGGGGATAACTGAAGTCTTATAAATAAGTATATAAATAATTTTTACCGACGCCCCCTTTGGAATCAGAGGCCCAGGCCAAGTGGCCCATATGGCCCCCCCTCTGTCTGGGCCTGAACTGATGTTAAGAACCGAACTTAACACTGGAAACAACGAGGAGCTGAGAGGAACCAAAATGGTATGAGTTGCCCATCTCTAGTCATGAGAAGTCATCCTCTGATGTTCTCCAAGTCCAGGCAGGTATATAAGGGAGCAGAAGGTCTTTTAGGTTTCTGAGTCTTCAGCCATCTAGAGCAGGGGCCGGTAAAGCTGTTGTGGCTTGGGCCGGTTCATGGTCCCGCAGATGTCGCGGTGGGCCAGAGTGTGTGTGTGCGCGCATGCGCAAATGCTATTTCCGGCACTCCTTCCCGCGCGGAGGAGGTGTGCGCAGCTTCCCATTGGCTGCAGGAGCTTCCTGCAGCCAATGGGAAGCTGGCCAGCGTCGCGGAAGGCGGTCCCTGCTCCGCGCCAGTTTAGTGTGGTGCACGGGAGCCAACCGAGTGGGCGGCGAGGTTCCCTGGGCTGGTTAAATAATAATACTAACAATAATAATTTATTATTTATACCCCGCTCATCTGGCTGAGCCTCCCCAGCCACTCTGGGCGGCTTCCAATCGAGTGTTAAAAACAATACAGCATTAAATATTAAAAACTTCCCTAAACTTCCCTAAATGACCCCCATGGGCCGGTTAAACGACCCCCATGGGCCTTATGTTGCTGACCTCTGATCTAGAGCTTCTAGACTGGGTTCTGAGCCATCTAGAGTGCTCCAAAACTCTTCACCAGAAGACATCTCATCTCATGAAGCGTTCTGGAGATCTGAAAAACTTGTACGCTATTTTGCAACATTTTGGTTGGTTCCAACAGAGGTGTTGGATCTTGGAGTTCGGAAACACGGACCAACTCATCTGCCTTATATTGATGACACTTTGTTCTCCATATCACTAGATGATCTCACTCAGTGGCGCTCTCTCTCCCTCTCTCTCCACACACAAACATATATACTGTATGGTGCCAGCCAGATGGGTAGGAACAGAGCCAGGATAAAGCCAGGTTGCTCAGTTCTGCAGCTGGTCCAAGAGAGAAAAAAATATATGCAGGACTTGACAAACTGCCAAGAAGTCCATTAGGCTGTACAGGAGTTTGGCGTCCCACTCTTGATTTTTAGATGTAATTACATGCCAATGGAGGCATGCCAGTAATCAACTTCCTTTCCCTCTGGGAAGTTGGCAACTTGACATAGATGAGAGCAAGGCTCAAGGAGGCCCCGGCAGTGGCAAGGAGCCACGGGCCTCTTTAATACGTATTGGAGAGGGTGGGGCTTCTGGTTCCAGCGGAGACCCCAGGTGCTTCTCCTTCTCCGAAGAACCCACCGAACGGGGCTGGGAATTCTAGTTGCCGAAAGGGACTAGGGGCATGGTTTCCTCAGCGATCGTTCAAGACGATCGCCTTTCCTGTGGGTGGCAGAGAAGGGGAAAGAATGGACATGTGTGCGTTTTAGCTTCTCCTTTGTACCTCAGGAAGTGATCGCATAGCAATAACCTGCAAGAGAAGTCAAGAGCTGGTCTTTCCCCCTCCCTGTCCCCAAACCCACCTCCTTCCTTCCAGATTTGTTTCTGGGGACTATAATGTCATTCAGCCTTTATAAGGCCATTTCCTGACATAGTCATTTGCAGGGATATACACAGGATGTTTCCTATTTCTTTACAAAGCTGGGGGGGAGCAAAGGCCAACCATTCTGGCTCCAATTGGATGCCCCAACCATGGCAAAGGGCCAGTCCTCCTGTTTTGCTGGTGATGTAACTTTCCCCTTCTCAATCCTTTACCTCCCTTGGCCTTGTTAACGGGCTGCAAATGGAAACGAAATTTGTCACCCGTCATTTTGACTGGAACCTGCCTCCAAATCGGCATTTTAAAACTAAAGTGTGCTTTGCAAGTGTTGAAAACCCAATCCTTTACACCGATGGAGTTTTCCTTTTAAAACTTCTCTAAAGTGAGTACGGTTGGTTTAAAGATCCTGCCCCCCCCCCCCGCCACTCAACATCTTTTTGCCAACAGCAACAATAAGAGAGAAAGAGAAAGAAAGGGGACTCATAAAAAATAAAATAAAAACCTTCCTTGGCGAAGAAAAAAATCTGTTTTAAATCATCGCCATCATTCAATGAACAGATGTCATTAGCATTTTTCTGCAATGGACTGACATTTTCCTTTCTAGATATATTCTAAGCACATTCACGGGGGCTTTTAAAAAAAAAAAAAAAAAAGCCAATGTGTAGCTTGATTAATTGGATGGGGTTAAAATATGACAAAGAAGGAGTGGAAATATTTCGGGCAAAAGAAGAAAGAAAGAAAATCTACTTCAAGGGGCTGTTTTGGAACCGGAGTTTTAGCATACATTGTGTACAAAAACACAGCAGAAATATGGAGGGAGAGAACAGAGAGGATTGGTAATAACTAATAAGGTTGTTGTGAAAAATTCACAAGGTAAAAATGGCTAACTGCTTTGCCCGATGGAAGTGCCAACAGAAAGATGCCAGGCAAACGGCTCATCAGGCGACAGAGAGTTGTCTTGGGAAACATCTTGCAACATCAAAGACAGCGTAGCCCAAGTGAAATTAAGTTTGCATTGCTATGGAATTAAGTTCTATTGATCGGAACTTAATTGCCTATTCCCCAGAGTGTTTTCATGAGCAACAGCAAGCCCTGTTCCTTGAATTCCCTGTCTTTGGAAACTGGATGAAAGCACCGCATGAACCAAGAATCTACAGCTGATTTTTCAAAAAGAGCTTTCTTCTCCATATACAGCATTAGCGGTGATGATGAGCAAGTGAAGCACAGGAGACTGAAAGGCATTCCTGGTGCAAAAAAACAATAATAATGCACAAAGACATTTCTGTGCCAGAGAAACAATGTGCTCGAAACGGGGGACATGCGTCCTCCAGTGCATCAGCAACATAACAAAAGATGATGTGATGAGATCTTAAGCTAGCACTGCAAACAATCACAATAATGTTTAGGACAGGGAAGAGGGTGGGTGGGAAACCAACTGGCTCTGACCCAAGCCATTTGACGTCACCGTCTTATGTGTCAGGCTGTAAACAAAACATCAGAACACATGCGAGGAGCCATATTAGCACGGCGAAATCAACAGATCTAAGCAGGCTTTAATATTATTCCCAATTTCTGCAGGCTCCAACGTGCAAATGCAGAGCCCCTTTAGCGCAGATTGTGCGCAGTTGTGTTAACGAAACCCAAAAAACCACACACAGACATGTCAAGAAAAGGATATCACGTCGTTTTATTAGAGGACTGAGGGTTGTTCCCCGCCTCCTCAAATCTGAGAACAGATGGCATGTCCAACCAAACACATCGGCAGCTTACACAACATTGGGAAAATAGGCACGTACGCTGGATTGCATTGGCAACTGAGCCTGGATCAAACCCACTCTCTCCTATCCTTCCTATAGAGACGGCCTTTCCTCTCACACACAAACACACCCTTGCCCAGTGCTTAGTGGGAGGTGTTCCCTTGAAACCAATGCGCAGTCTAAACAGGAATCGACTGCCAGAGAAATCTGGAAATGGTTGGGGACAACATTTATTGGGGGGGAGAAACATGTGTTCACATAGCAAGCACATGAGAGCCAAGAAATTAGGAAAATATGTCTTAACAATTAACCAGCCAGCAACATTATTTGGGACGGTCTTCTGCACAAACTCTAGCAGGGTCCTTGTGTAGCTGCCAATTCATTTCGACGGGGTTTTATACAGATCCCCCCCCACACACCATGGGATCGAGTCTCCTTGGTCTCGCGGCTTTCGAAAATGCTCTCCTTATCCCCCCAAAATTCCAGAAAATTGTTGTGCGCAATTTTACGACTTAAAACTGCCCCTCTCTCCTCTGTTCTTTAGATTTGTTTTAATTCGGTTGCTACATAAATGCTTTCCGTGACACAGATACCCTTTGATTTATTAACAAAAGAGACAGAAAAGACATTTGGTAGTATAAAATGCCTGAACAAATTAAATATCATTTATAGATAGATAGATAAGATATAAAAAAAGACTTAGTAAAAATATAGTCCTATGGTTCAAATGAAAGATAATAATCTTGATACAGTGAAAAATGTGCCTGTTTGGCACCCCTAAACTAGTCTCTGTCCCATAACAATCATTGCAAAAGAATCACTCCCGGTTTTGAACACCTTATTAGGGCTCATCCTTACTCCCCTCCCCTCCCCAATGCTTTCTAGGCATAGGGTCGCACTTTTCCAGTCCATTTCAGAGTGCTTTTCTTTTTTTCTTTCTTTCTTTCTTTCTTTCTTTCTTTCTTTCTTTCTTTCTTTCTTTCTTTCTATCTCTCTCTCTCTCTCTCTCTCTCTCCTATCTGCTTTCCCCAAGAAAACTGGATCCATACTGCTGATTAGGAGCAAATGGCAATTCGGGTTTTCTGCAAATTGCCATTTGCTCTGATTCAGTGGTAAAGAGCGGGTTTTCGCAGGGAAAGCAAAAATAATATTAATAAAAAGCTGTTGGACACAGACCTGGAAAGTGTGGACCTCTGCTTAGGAATGCAGAGCGTAGGTCAGTGTGGATAAGCCCTGACTCGCTTCTCCTTTAGCCTTAATAACCTAACTCTGAAAATGCTGGTTCTCCAGGCATGGCGTAGACCTTGGGGAAAGTGAAAGGCTGGAAGTTACACCTCCATCCTGAAAACAGGGGCGGCTGTGGCTCAGCAGCAAAGCATCTGCCTGCATGCAAAAAGGTCACAGGTGTAATTGCCTGCATTCCCAGGCAGAGGCTTCTCCTCTGAAACCCAGTCAAGATGGGCAATACTGAGTGATATGGGCCAGTAGTCTGACTTGGTCTGAAGCAGCTGCCTATGTTTCGGGAAGGGCCGTAGGCCAGTGGCAGAACATCTGCTTTGCACGACGATGGTCCCGGTTTCAGTCCTGTGTGCCACCAGCTCACAGGATCCCAAAGGAGCGGGGAAAGATTCTTGCCCTGAGCCCATGAATTACGGCCACCAGTCAAGAGGAGATGGCAGTGGGCTAGTGGCTCGGATCTCACATGGCAGCTTCAAATGCATCTCCACTCCAGCGCTTCCATCAGTGTGATTGCAAAGATCATGGGTTTACATGGGCAAAGCTTAGCAGAGCTGCTTCAATGGGATTTACGCAGAGGTTCACAGGGAAGTTGAGTCAAAGCAGGTTCGGTGAGCTTTCTGATAGGGATGCTTGGAATTACATGAAATTATATGAAAAAGCATCCGGGGGAAATTAACTCAAGAATGGATTTCTAAAACACTTGGAAGCTACTGAAATCAGTGGGCCGGCTTTGAAGTGAACGGGCACAATCTGGGTAAAGTTATGCCAGCCTGAAAGGACCATCTGTCAATTTTATTTTATTTTTACGGCTTTTTCAAGCCTTTCCCTTCATCGCACTCCATACCACTTTAACCAGTCTTAAAACCCTCCCTCGTCACAATTTGGCTACTTCCCTGCCTTGATGTCCATCCCCTTTTATGGAAGGTCTCAAACCGCACTGCCGTCAGTGCTTCCCCTCCTGCAAAAGCCAGTTCAATCCAACCTGTTTTAGGCATGACTATAGCTTTACCCCACGACGGTGCCCTTGGGGTGCAATCCAGAAGCATGACAGTGAAAGGATTTATTTATTTTGCCATGCGCTCTGTTGGGTTGCAGACTGCCCACTCGCCACCAGATCCCAGCATGTTCTAGGACTTCAAATCGGACAGCTTGCAATTCAGTTCCAGGAGAGGCGGCTAGCCTGCTTTTGAAGAATGACAAACCTTGCTTCACTGCTAAAAAAACAACCCAGATGTCGAGAGCCACTGCCTCCCCACCCTGCTTCCCCAGTTACGCAGACGTACAGTACAGACATCTTAAGCACTGGAAGAGATCAAATGCACTGGAGAACCAGGCTCCTGAACTTTTTCCAACAATCCAGAGGGAAAGGATTTCAGCATCTTGCGGCTTGTCATGTTATAATGCTGCAGGCGCAAAGAAAAGCTGCACCCACGGTAATTCCCTCCGGGCCAATAAAAGGTCCAGAAAAACTGTCCGCCCTCACACATTTCAGCACCCTACGAATTCAGTTTCCTTCTGCTTTGCAACAGTCTATCTTGTTGTGCTACATAGCAATACAGTATATCAGTGGTTCAGCATTATTATTTTTAAAAACAAACAACCCAAGCAATGCATTTAATGAGATAATCTAAATATTGCAATGTTGACAGGCAAGGGGAGAGGGTTTGGAAGGCTGATGCAAAGGAAGGCACTTGTGGGGATATATAGGTGGGCACTGTTATCTCAGCTAGATGAATGTCGGGTCTTGCAGTGGGACTCTGAGATGATGTGCACATTACGCTGAACAAGGAAGAGGGCAGGGTCCCGTGTTTTGGCCCCCCAACCCAGTGCTTCAGCTAAAAATGTGCAAGGCAGGGGATCTAAGGGCTCTTTCACACAGAGCAAAGTCGAGCCGGCCACATCCAGTCCCTTGCTCTCAGATGAGCACGATGCACACATGTCTGCTCTGCAAACACATCTGTGACATGCACACATCACACATGCTCTGCGGCACGGGAGAGAATGAAAAATCCTGACAGTGACACTCATGGGTTTATGCTGAATGACCTTCAGTGGACACTAAAAATAATAATAATAATAATAATAAATCTGTTTAAGTGTGAAGAGGCCCTTAAATGCAGAAAACTCCACAAGCTTCAGGGGTGAGGTTCCCAAGCCCTGCTTGGGACGCAACAGTAGAAGGGCAAATAGTTTCTCTGCAGCAATTCTCCGCAGCAACAGTTTCAAAGTTCCTGCAGATGTTTTTTGCTCACTCCTCGGCAGATTGGCCCTTGTTTCTCAAAGGACGGGCACATTAGCTGAGCTGGGCTGTCTCTCAGCAGGTAAGAATAAATTTGTTAGAAGGACAAGGCGCCCCACAGGGATGGGAAACCAAGCTGCTCTCATTTGGAGCAAACAAAAAAGAGGTTAGCACCTGTGCATCATGCCCTTCCCTAAGGGTACGTGTAGGTTTTGAGCTTCCGTCAAATTCATACTGGTTTAACCGGCACAGCTTCGCTCAAAGGGTCCTGGGAATTGTGGTTAGGAGACGGAATTCAGGTACAAGATCCCATGGTTCCCCCTTGCAGGTTCCCAGGGTTCCCTGGGGGAAGGGAAATGACAGTTAAACTGGGCTCAGCCTTGAACCCCTCTCCCCTTGCTGAACACACAAGCGCAGCCCTACCCAGTGATACAGGTGCTGTAATAGACAGCGCTGCTGGCATCGGACAGGGCCGATATCAAGCTGCTCTCCTCGCAGGAGAGGCTCCGTGGAGTCACTTTGGACATGGAGACATGGTAGGCAAACCCCGAAGGATCGGGACGAGTCCTGCTCATATTCAAATACTGGTCAAACTCGTTGCGGTCCACTTCTGTCCAGAGCTCGTTGGGGTTCAAGTGCTCCACGCCGTCAAGGTGGTGAGATTCGGGCGGCGGGGAGAGCTGGCCCAGGTGGGCAGAAAGCCCGTTGGCAGCTCCGGCGCATAGTTGGTTGTAGTACATACCAGGTGGGTGGGGAGTCCTCATGGCATCAGCCAGGTGAGGTGGGTTCTGCGGGTAGCCCATGGGCATGTTCCTCCCCAGGTTTTTCTCCGGGGTAAACTCCATCTGGGGAGGTGGAGGAGGAGGAGGAGGAGGGTGGTGATGGTAGCCTCGGAAGGACATCACGCCACAGTCGTCCTGCATGTGTGGAGGGAAAAAGGCAGGCTCCGTCTGCTCCAAGACGTCCAGAGGGGACATCTCAGGGGTCGGCAAGCCATAGTTCTCCATATCAGAGCTCACCGAGCGGAGTTCTCTGAAGTGGTTGAGCGGAGGAGGCTGGGCATGCCCCGGGTGCCCGATGGCGCCACCAGCCCGGTGGTTCATGGCAAAGCCATCGCCGCAAGGCTGGGAGAGATTGTGCAGGAGGATGTTGGGCTCCATCCTCTTGATTTTCTTGGCTTGCTTCTTCCTCCTGGGGCGGTACTTGTAGTTGGGGTGGTCCTGCAGGTGCTGGATCCTCAGCCTCTCTGCCTCTTCCACAAAGGGGCGCTTGTCGTTGGCGCTGAGCGCTTTCCACGACTGGCCTGGAGGGGGTCCGGAAAGGAAAAACACAGGCATGAAGCTACAGCAGAAACAGGGGAGAATTAAGGGCTCCGGCAGATCAAGGATTCGAGTCCTTCACCTGCTTCAGAAGCCCAAACTATTGCTCACGTAATAATTGCAGCATACAAAGGCCGTTAAACAATAGGCAGTATTCGCATTAATGCATGGGTAGGCAAACTAAGGCATGGGGGCCGGATTCGGCCCAATCGGCTTCTCAATCCGGCCTGCAGACAGTCCGGGAATCAGCGTGTTTTTACCTAAGTAGAATGTGTGCTTTAATTTAAAATGCATCTCTGGGTTATTTGTGGGGCATAGGAATTTGTTCATTTTTCCCCCTTCAAAATATAGTCTGGCCCCCCACAATGTCTGAGGGACAGTGGACCGGCCCCCTGCTGAAAAAGTTTGCTGATGCCTGCATTAAAGTATCTCACATTGGGAAGTTGGACGCTGTTATTGTTTTTAAACCATACATGTCCAATCACCAAAAGGTCATCTCATCAGGCCCTGTCCACCTTGGGAATATTAGATTCCAGTTTTTTCACCGTGTCTTAACCATGCCAGACCCGAGAGAGGAGAGAAAGAGAGAGAGAGGGAGAGAGAGAGAAACAAACAAACAAACAAACAAACAAACAGAGAGAGAGTATGCCAAGAAGGTACAGTAGATCCTCTGCAAGATCATGGCTCCAAGTCCCTGATATGTTCATGATCTCTTGGTATGATCCATGAGAACAACCCCAAAATCCACAAAAACATTATTAAGAAGACCATCCAAGATGTCACAAGATGGTGAACTATCTCATCAGCCTGGATGCCAAGTAAAATAGGGTGTGGAGAAGGAAATCAAGTTTATCATCCAGTCCGATGGAGAGTTTTGGAGAACCTGAGAGTGCATTCCCTATTTTGGAACGTTTTCATGGGTTCTGATAAAGTTCCTCCCCTGCTGTGATTTTTGATGTGATGGAGAGTCCACTTCGACTAGAAACATCTCTTTCTCCCCCTGCTCTTCCTTACTTGCTTACACACACACACACACACAATCACAAGGTAGTTAAAGAGAGGGGAAACCAAAGTGCAGATTTTTGATAAACGTGCATTATGGTGCTTTCACACAACCATAGTGATGGCAGCTTCTTTGCAAGTGATTTTTTGTATTTCTCTTGTCTACTCTGAAATGCAAATGTGATACCCACATTGCTGAACAATAGGCTTTCAGTTTAGAAAGGGCTCTCTCCCACATTCCGTCCCATAGTAATTAACATCCATACATAGGATAGAGGACCCTGGACACTTTGCAAGGGGGTGGGTAGCTAAGGTATATAATATATGAAATTCTTATTTAGGAGTCTGTGTCTCTCGTTTCTAGATAGGTGTTCAGGAAAGGGTGGGGGAATAAAATAACTAATGAGTTCTTTTTTCCTTGACCACTTCCAAGGACAAGGGGAAATGGCATTTTGTCTGGGCGGTATCCAATGTGCTTACTCTGTTAGTACAAGGATTTTTGCTTGTGCAACAGAACTCCCCTATCTAGTCCCCTCAGTGCACATCCTGTGCCCTCTCCAAATCTGCCCCAGTGGATTGGGAGAACCCCCAAAATAAATTTGAGGGAGGAAGTTCCATTGTGAAAGCATACATGCTTGCACAAATGGAACAAGTTACTTAACCCCTTTCCATTCTATTTGTTGCAAATTTGATAATCACTTTTCATTTTGTGTAATAAGAAATTTTGGTGGATTTGACCATGGTTTTACTGCAGATGTAGCGACTGCTGTTTAGCTTTGTACTGAACTCAGTACAGATGCAGAACTCCCTGCCCTGGGCTGAGCTCAGAAGAAACCAGTTATGGCTTTCTGCAATAGAAGCTGCAGCGCATAGTGCTGATTGCCCAGTGCTTGTGATGTCACAAACATTTCCCCCAACGAACCCTACAGCCCTTTTGCGTCCCTCTAGATACTTTATTTCAACCAAGTCAAACAAATGCATGCTGACACATGAATGTTGCACTATCTCTCTATTCCTTCAATAAAATTAGCACAAGAAGCTTGTGGTTTGTTGTTGTGAATGAGTCAATTTGCTCTTACCTTGCAATAAGGGGGGGTGGGAAAGGGCCATAGCTCAATGATAGAGCATCTGCCTCGCATACAGAATGCCCCAAGTTCAATCCCTGGCATTTCCAGATAGGGCTAGGAGAGACCTCCCCCCCAAAGTCCTGGATAGCTGCTGCCAGTCTGTGTAGACAGTACTGAGCTAGATGGACCAGTGAGTCAGGATATGGCAGCTTCCTACGTTGTATAAATTTGGGTTTGTGATAGAAATGTGATAGACCGATCGTTACCTTTTGTATCTCGGGTTCTTGGGGACCCTTCTATGTGCAATTTTCTTCCCACTCTCTGCTTATGTGTGTGTCCCTGCATCCCTCCCCATACACACCTCCCAAATGAAGATGAAATGTCCTGCATCATCAGACGAAGCGACAGAAGCCGAAAAGCTTCTAAATGTGTTCATCTTTCAGGGTCTCTTATTACTCATTGACTGCGGATCTTTTTATCCCAAAGAAGTGAAATTAGTAAAAGGGTGCAGGGGGAAACGTTCTTCTAGTCTTTGAACTGTATCCTTTCGGGAGAAGAGGGGACTGAGAGCAACGTTTCATAGAATAACACCCAATGCAGTTCAGTTTTAAAACCGCGCGCTTGGCCAGAATGCACATTTGATTTAAAAATGACTTTCTTTGGCTGCTTTCTCAGCTTTGTGAGAAACATTTGCAAGCGTGCAGTAATAGTGCAAGAGGGAAGTGATCTGCCCTAGTGCTTCCCTTGCTGTAGGTGCAACGGATGGGTAAATTATCTGGATTAAAGTCACAATCCTATAGCCCTTTATCTGGGAACGAGCCACACTGCAATTGACTTCTGGGTACCCATGTGCAGGATTGTACCGCGAATGACCTGCAGAGAGGGGCTGATGAGAAAGGTTGCATCATAAGAGAGAGCTTCCTCAAAATAAATTTAAAAAGAGAGAGCTTCCTTCCTCATGGCTGCTACTCTCCCCGCTCCCAAACTCCTTTTCGATCCTTGTAAGAACTGCACTGTTCAGACAGATGCCCCCACAGAGCCCACCAGCAGAACAAAAGGCAGCGGCCACCTCCGTTCCTGTTTACCCCCAGTCTCCAATCTTACTCCAAGGTAAACTGCTTGGAACATGCAAGCTCCATTTCTCAGGTATGGCTAATACGTGGGACCTGCAATAAAATTTTGCAGTGTGTGTGTGTGTGAGAGAGAGAGAGATAGAGAGAGGTGCCTCTGCTCAGGAGTCTAGATTGCTAGTTACGTCTTCCCACTCCCGTTGTCAACCCCCACACCCCAAAACCCTCATCATCCCATTGCTACTGAGCATGCTTGGTCTTCGCAGGGTCTTTTCTCGAGGGCCCCCATTATAGGTTGCTAAAAAGGATTTCTGCAAACCCCAGGTCTCCCTTCAACACCTGAGTGTGCTCTCAGAGGGAGGGAGAAGCCTTTCAAGTCTGACTAAGGGGGGGAGGCTGCCCCCCTAAATCAATAAAAATCAACAAAAATACAGAACTGAGGTTCTGTCCCCCCTAACATAAAGCCTGCCCCGCTATAATAAATCCTGGCTACACCCATACTTGAAAGGCTTTCGCTTCCCTATGAATCTGTCCAAACCCACCTTAGCTCCTGGTGGTCATCATCCCCACATCTGGTGGCAATGAGTCCCACAGTGCGCTCACACACCCCGCTTACCCAGCATCTTGCTCAGCACCGCGTTGTGCAGGTCCGGATTCTGCTGGGCCAGCCGCTTCCTCTCGTCCTTGGCCCACACCATGAAGGCGTTCATGGGGCGCCGGATGCGGGAATCCTCGGCGCTCTTGCCGTCGGACGGACGGCCCGAGGCGGCGCCGTAGCCATAGCCGGCGTCGGGGCTGGGAGAACGGCTCGACGCAGCCGAGGTGCCCAAGAGCGCGCCGCCGGGGTCGCCTCCCCTGATGGGCGCCGCTGCGCCGGGGCGAAATCCGAAGGCCGGCTCCGGGCTGGGGGTCCGGCTGGAGACGGCGGGCTCGGCGGCCCGGCTGTGCTGCGCGAAGGCGCGCCCGGGATCAGAGGCAGCGGCGGCGGGAGGAGGTGTAGGCGGCGGAGGCGGAGGCGGCGGTGGCGCAGCGGCTGCTCCCGCGACGGCTCCCCATGAAAAGTCGCCTCTGGCTTGGAGTATCTCCTCTCTACAGAAACTAGGCTCAGATATATTCATTCCAGCTAGACGGACCTTTTGGGATCACAAGGCGAGCAGAAAAAGAAGGAAAAAACGGGCAACAAGAAGAGAATCGGGTTCCCTTCTCCGAGGAAAGAAGACGACGCGAGCGAAGGAATCAGCGGCTCGAAATGCGCAAAGGAACCAGAGAAGAAGGCAGGATTCGGCCCGAGCTAAGGGCTGGCTTGGTTCGCCCCCTCCAAAAAAGGGAGGACAAGACGCACGCGCTGGAAAGGATGCTCCCGTCGGAGGGGCCACATTATAAAGGCTGCGCTTCCCATCCGAGGGAGGGCGACGGGAAAGGAGGAGGGGTTAGACGGGCCCGCTAGGAACACCCCCGACGGAGGAGGGCGATGGACGCGCGGTTTCATTCCCCCCTCCCGGCAAAGGAAATCGGGGAAATTGCTCCCCCCGCTCCCCCGACTTTCCTCTCCCTCCTGTCGGATTAAGTCCTGGCGAGGCAATTCCGTTTGCGCAAACCTCAGGCGCTCAGCAGCGCCTCCTCCGAGCTAGCCAGACGCAAACGTCCCCCCGCGAAGTGGGCGACAGGGATTTTTTTGGGTGCCGCTGGCCGGGGGGTGGGGAGAGAGGGGGTGGTTTGTTTAGCCTTGCTTTGATTTCCTAACATCCCCATTTTTTATGTGTACAATCCCTTTCTGCACACGCACCCTTTGGAAAAGAAGAAAAGCCGCAGCCAAATAAAGTTGGCTTCTAGGCGCACGTGGTCGAGGCAAACGCTGCAAGAGAGCGTCGGGAGAGGTCCCTTTGCGTGGAGAAAGCCTCGCTTGGGTGGGGGTGATTCTCAGTGCAGATGGGGGGGGAAGAGGAGGTGGAGGAGCCGAAACCCCTCTTTGAAAGGGGGTCTGGAAACGGTTTGAAAAGTGCTGTCTTTTCACGGTGGTTCGGTGCGCGCAGACGCGGTTCCTTGCTGGAAGGAAAGTTAGATTGTAAGCTCTTCAGGGCAGATCCGTTAGGGTGGAAAGCAGGGCTGCGGAATCTTTTCTTTCCGGCCCGAGGGCCGCATTTCCTTCTGGAGGGGGCCACATGCGAATAGTGGGCGGAGCCAGAGGCAAAAGTGGGCGGGGACACGAATATAAATATTACCTTTGTATGGTAGGCTCGTTTGTACACAGACACACCCCTCCATCCAGACAAGCGAGAGGCAGTGTCACAGATCAAGGGAGAATGCTAGCCAGAGAGGGGGAGGGGCTGGTGGGAGGTGTGGCCTCGGGAGGGACGGGGCCTGATGTTCCCCACTTCTGCTGTAAAGCAAATCAAGTTAAGTGCTGATGGATAGTCCTTGTACTGTACGCTTATGCTACAATTCAGTGCACCTTTACCAGGGGATAAATGGGTCTTAATGCGCCTACTAAGTGAGAGTGGGACTTGCTTTAGGATTGTGCTCATAGGTGTCAAAATAAAACGGGAAGAGAAGACAGCAAGGTAGTTTCTGCCCCGCCCCCCAAGTGAGAAGAAGAGTACCTGAACAATCTATCTGGTGTCTCAGGAACTACAAATGCTAAAAACACTTTAAAAAAATGAAAACTGGGAATCTCACAATCTTTTTTGGAGGGGGCTGCTCCCCCTTTCCTTTTCTGGAGATGCTCAGGATGTGACATCCTCTATGTTACTCCTCTATGTGACATCCTATTATAAAAGGATGTCACATAGAGGAAGGAGAAAGGTTGTTTTCTGCTGCTCCAGAGAAGCGGACGCGGAGCAATGGATCCAAACTACAAGAAAGAAGATTCCACCTAAACATTAGGAAGAACTTCCTGACAGTAAGAGTGGAATTTGCTGCCAAGGAGTGTGGTGGAGTCTCCTTCTTTGGAGGTCTTTAAGCAGAGGCTTGACAACCATATGTCAGGAGTGCTCTGATGGTGTTTCCTGCTTGGCAGGGGGTTGGACTCGATGGCCCTTGTGGTCTCTTCCAACTCTATGATTCTATGATTCTACTGTCAATTTCTGGAGCTGTTGGCTGAAGCTCTACCTGGAATTGATTGATTGATTGATTGATTGATTGGTTGATTGGTTGGTTGGTTGATTGATTGAATTTATATACCGCCCTATACCCGGAGATCTCAGGGTGGTTCACATAACAAAATCAAAATATGAAACCACAAAATATATAATCAAACTAAAAACAACAACCCAATACCCCCCCAAAACCCCACATAATTATTATTTATTTGTTGAATTTATTTATTTATATCCCGCCTTTCAGTCAGATGATTCTGAGCTCAGTTTACACCAGATTGCAGGAATGCTCAGAGATGTGCAAACCTGCAGCCCCTGATCCTCTGATCGATGGATGAGGCCAAGCTGGTTTTCCCCTTTTGAGTGATCTTCTCCCTGGAGTTTCTCTATGGTCCTTCATCCTTTGGTCAGAATGTGCCTCCTTCCAGCACTGCAGTCCCTCAAAACCCAGGACATGGTGAAACTGTGGAACTCACTCCCACATGATTTGGTGATGGCCAACGACTTGGATGGCTTTGAAGGAGGATTGGACAAGTTCAAGGAGGGTCAGGCTATCATTGGCAACTAGACACAATGCCTTGTTCTGCTTCCACTGTAGAAGGCAGTGGGCCTCCGAATGTCACAGGCTCCCAGAAATTTGGTGTGCAGCTGGTGATTTAAAGGGGAAGAGCTTCCAGGTTAAGAGGTGGGGGTGTACAGGAACACAGAAAGCTGCATTATCCTGAGTATTTTTATACCATTCAGTGCTGGCTACATTGACCTGCAGTGATGCGGGTGGCGCTGTGGGTTAAACCACAGAGCCTTGGACTTGCCGATCAGAAAGTCGGCAGTTCAAATCCCCGCGACGGGGTGAGCTCCCGTTGCTCGGTCCCTGCTCCTGCCCACCTAGCAGTTCAAAAGCACATCCAAGTGCTAGTAGATAAATAGGTACCGCTCCAGCGGGAAGGTAAACGGCATTTCCGTGTGCTGCTCTGGTTCGCCAGAAGTGGCTTAGTCATGCTGGCCACATGACCCGGAAGCTGTACGCTGGCTCCCTCGGCCAATAAAGCAAGATGAGCGCCGCAACTCCAGAGTCGGTCACGACTGGACCTAATGGTCAGGGGTCCCTTTACCTTTACCTTACATTGACCAGCAAGGGATATTCCCAGCCCATTATACAATATTTATATTTATACCCCATATTTCCTCCAAGCAGCTCAAGTTGGTGTACACAATTCTTTGTTTCCCCATTATATCTTCACAGCAACCCTGTGAGGTGGATTAAGCTGAGAGATGGTGACTGGGAAAGTGGGGATTTGAACCCTGATCTCCCAAGTGCTAGTCCAGCACTCTAACCATTTCACTATACTGGCTGTCTTACACTGGTGCTCCCTTAACGCTCTCTTATTACTATTATATGTATAGCCCAAGCACATCTTTGCTTAAAAATAATTAAAAATAAAAGTGTGTTTAAAACACTTAAACAGAAACACAATAAAACACTCAATTTATTTTATTTTATTTTTTAAAAAAGCAGATGTAACCAAATCACATGTCTGGATAGGTCTGCTGAAACAAGGAACTTTTCAGCAGCTGTCTAAACGGACACAGTGATGGCACCTGCCTGTCAACAGGCAGGGAGTTCCACAGATGCTGAGGGTTGGACCCGCATACCCTCCAACATTTCTCTGATGAAAATAGGGACGTCCCATTCCATAATGATACGTTTTACTATTTATACCCCACACATCTCACTGGGTTGCCCCAGCCACTCTGGGCAGCTTCCAACATATATAAAAACATGATAAAACATTAAATATTTTTTTAAAAAAACCTTCCCTGTACAAGATTGCCTTCGGATGGCTCAGGGGTTGGATAACTCCGTAGCCTCCAACATTTCTCTGACGAAAATAGGGACATCCTAAGGCAAAGTGGGACATTCTGGGATCAAATCAGAAACCGGGATGGCTTCTTTAAATCAGGAAAAAAGCACACCAAGAACTCAGGCCAATGTAAGTTTCAGTAGTGGGAGTGGTCCCTACTCGCAAATCAATAGCAACAAAAACTAATCCATTCAAAAGTATTTATTCTGACAAGGATTACAGACTCAAACAGAGATTACAGACTCAAACAGAGATTACAAACTCTAACTCATAAAAATATGTATAACAATAATTCATTACAGAATTAGAGATAAGAGTTTATGAGTAGAGATAAGTTCATGTTAGTCCAAATTCGTCGTGGAGGCCTTAGTTTCAATCACTGAGCAGAAGTCAGAAGTCAGTTATGTATTCACCTTCATCAGCTGGAAGTATCAAATATTACATGAAAATACATTTAAACTCTAAATTATCATACATTATAATTTATATAACTGTATTATATAACATTTGGTTAGTGTAAGTTTGAAGACTTTCGGATAAATATATCCTGTTATTTTCTATGTTTCTCAAGGATAACAACTGAAAATAATCACTATTAATAATAGTTACATGTGTTGAATCAAACTGAAAACTCTAAGGCACCATATAATCATATGATTCCTCACCTACACGTGGGTAGATCAACGGGGGGTGGGGGGTGGGTCGGGGTCTGGACTTGGGACCTCCTGCATGCCCCCCTGGTATTCTGCCACAGAGCTATGGCCCTTTTCCAGACTTTCGCGTCTGGGCCCCTTGTTCTGGAAATGGATTGCTGTTTCAGGACAGAGAAAAAGAAGCCAGGATATCCTTCTCAGTTGAAGTGCACTGCAGGAAGCTGCTTGCCTCCATTTGAGGTCAGGGCCAAAAGCCCCATTGATCTTGGTGGGTCCTGATGGCGCTTGCGCTCATCTGCACGGGAACCCTTGGGAAGCACGCTTGCCTGGGAGCAAGTCCCACTGAATTCAACAGGACCCACTTCGGAATGAACGTGCAACCAATTGTGCCCGCAAGAAGGGAGTGCAGGATGGCTGCTGACACCCAGAGATCAAAAGGAAGAAGCTAAAATGTAATGACTGTGTGGGAATCCTATTTCTTGATCCCATCCTGCCACCATGTTTGATCAGGGCTCTGGGCCCAGGGCCCAGATACAGAAATTAAAGTCAATTGCTTAATCAACTAGATACGTTTGACTAAAATTGCATTGACAGAAAAAGGTGTTGCTGTTCTTGGTTTTAAATGGCCAATGCATCACCTCCTGTGTCAGAGTGAAGAGGGAGGAATGATGCCTTTTCTGCAAAAGTGCTTGCCACCTGCAATTTTTAAAAGTTTATATTAAAAAGAATCTTTTTTAAACAAAACGAAACCATGCTTCCTGCTTTGGGGGGATGCATTTTCAGTTGAAGAAGGCTGATCGCCGAAGAATTGATGCTTTTGAATTATGGTGCTGGAGGAGACTCATGAGAGTCCCATGGCCTGCAAGAAGACTAAACCTCTCCATTCTGAAGGAAATCAGCCCTGAGTGTTCACTGGAAGGACAGATCGTGAAGCTGAGGCTCCAGTACTTTGGCCACCTCATGTGAAGAGAAGACTCCCTGGAAAAGACCCTGATGTTGGGAAAGATGGAGGGCACAAGGAGAGGGGGACGACAGAGGACAAGATGGTTGGACACTGTTTTTGAAGCTACTGACATGAGTTTGACCAAACTGCGGGAGGCAGTGGAAGACAGAAGTGCCTGGTGTGCTCTGGTCCATGGGGTCATGAAGAGTTGGACATGACTAAACGACTAAACAACAACATTTTCAGTTGATTCAGAAATAAATTCAAAAATTGCTTAACCAAATAATCAATTAAAGGTTGCAGCCTTGAGCATAACAATGTGCATCTGGGCATGTGCGGAATGCCTTTCCCTCACTGCCAAATGACAGGAGAGATGCCATTTGTGTAGTGCAATAGCTCTTGCTGCCTCCTCAACCCACCACGTTTTTTCTGACCAAAGGTGCCAACTCCCTGGGGCCCCGGGTGCCTGAGCACCCACAAAATTCCCCATGATGGAGCCGGGCACCCACAGATGATGGTGCTGGGGCCATGCACATTGCATGGCATCCACAGCCCTGGGCACCTATAGTCGTGTGGCAAGCTGGCACTCATGTCTCTGACTATGTGTTGTGTTTCCATTGGAAGGCAGGAAGTGCACAGAATTCAAACTACAAAGCTTTATTTTATTTTATTTTATTTTATTTTTTAAAAAAGCTTCTAGTAGCTTAGTCGGTAGCGCTTGATACTTTTAATTTCATGGTTGTGGGTTTGAGCCCCACACTGGGCAAAAAAATCCCGCACTGCAGGGGGTTGAACTAGATGGCCCTTGTGATCCCTTCCAACTTTATAGTTTTATGGTTCTGTGATTCCAGTCCTTATGGATCAAAGATTCAGTGTGTCCCTCCTCACAACCCCCCTCCCTACGTGCCTAGGATTAAAAGCGAAACAAAATCCCCTGATGTGGTTTAAAAATCAAGTAACGTGCTGCTTAAACTTTCCAAACCCAATTGCTCTTGTGAAAGGCAAAGAAAATTAGCTTCGGGCGGGGCGGGGGCTCCCTGTGATAAGAGTGCGTAGAGATATCGTCTGGCATAGATTGTGATGGTTTTGCAGAATTTAGATGGCTTTTAAAGGGAGCCAGAGTCATGGAGCGAAATGAATTCTAGCTAAACGGAGCCCCAACTTCAGAAGCAACATAACTCTGGGACTGCAGCTGCAGGGGAGCAAACAACGGGGAGTTTTTGTTGCCGCTTTCATGCTCTACTTGCGGGTTCCCAGAAGCATCTGGCTGGGCACTCTTCAAAACAGGATGCCGGAGGCTGGGCTGATCTGATCTAGCATGTCACTGCTTGGGTTCTTAAAGACTTCCAAACTTCAGATCTCTTTTGCCCCGTGGAAATGGCCCGATCAGATAAACAGGTCTACCCAAAAGAGCCGGTATCATAAAACTAATCAGCTGTGTCAAGTAGTTGCCATTATAACAATGTATGGCAGTTCGGCAAGGGATGTTTTTGCGCGTGTTTACTCGGAAGCCACCCTCGCTGATAGCAAGGGAATGGTGTCGAAGGAAACGCATCTGGGATTTTTGAAGAGGGGGTGTTATTGCAGCCATTGCCGCGGTTCACCTCCAGACTGCAAGGGAACGGGTTAACTCTGCATTGCCTCGGAGTTTCCCTTCGGAGAGGCAGCCAAAGGATGCCTTTCGCAAGCAAAGGTTCTCTTCTCCAGTTCCTTCCAAAAAATAGCTTTCCCCCCGCTCACCAATGTCTGCAAACACACCCCAGATCCCAGCTTGAAATCTGAAACTTTGCATTGGCTGGAATGGGGGCACTGGGTTGTGCAAGAGACTGGCGGTGGGAGATTGCACGCTATGGTTTGGGGAGCGCGAGTGTGTGTTATGTCTGGAACTGATTTTGGAAAATCCGATCTGCATTTAACCCTAAACAAAACAATAGCCCTTCTCTCTCTCTCTCTCTCTCTCTCTCTGGTTTACTCTTCCTCCAGAAGAAAACAGCGGGCGCTTTGAGCTGCATTTCTTTGCTGTCTTGGGAGTTCTAAATGTTGGTTGGAGCGCACACGATGCGCTCTCCCTCTCCTGCTTCAGATCCTATCTGGTCCGTAGGGAGATGTAGAGCACGTTTGCATCCACGAGGTTGGTGGTTCAGCCCTTAGTTAAACCACAGAGACTAGGGTTTGCCGATAGGAAGGTCGGCGGTTCAAATCCCCGCGACGGCGTGAGCTCCAGTTGCTCGGTCCCTGCTCCTAGCAGTTCGAAAGCATGTCAAAGTGCAAGTAGATAAATGGGTACCGCTCCTGCGGGAAGGTAAACAGCGTTTCCATGCGCTGCTCTGGTTCGCCAGAAGCGGCTTAGTCCTGCTGGCCACATGGCCCGGAAGATGTATGCCGGCTCCCTCGGCCAATAAAGCGAGATGAGCGCCGCAACCCCAGAGTTGTCCGGGACTGGACCTAATGGTCAGGGGTACCTTTACCTTTCACTGCTGCTTAAAAGGAGAGGTTGGATGTCCATCTGTCAGGGATTCTTTAGCTGTAATTCCTGCATTGCAGGGGTTGGACTAGATGACCCTCGGATCCCTTCCAAACCTTACAATTTTTAATCTTTGTTGGAAGCCACTCAGAGTGGCTGGAGAAACCCAGCCAGATGGGCAGGGTACAAATAATATATTATTATTATTATTATTATTATTATTATTATTACAATTCTATCATTCAACAACAACAACAATAGTAGTAGTAGGGATATATTTATACCCCGCCCATCCGGCTGGGTTTCCCCAGCCACTCTGGGCGGCTCCCAACAAATTAAAAACAATATAAAACATCAAACATTAAAAAACTTCCCCAAACAGGGTTGCCTTCAGATGTCTTCTAAAAGCCAGATAGTGTTTTATTTCCTTGACATCTGATGGGAGGGCGTTCCACAGGGCAGGCGCCACCACCAAGAAGGCCCTCTGCCTGGTTCTATGACTTCAAGTGTCCGTGTTGGAAAAGGGGCCTCTTGTGGTCGAGTGGCAGAGCACCTGCCTTGCATGCAGAAGGTCCCAGGGTCAATCCCCAGCATCTCCAAGTAGGGCTGGAAATGTCCCGTCTGAAACCCCGGACAGCAGCTGCCAGTCATTGTAGGCAGTTCTGAGCTAGGCGGATCAAAGCTGTCCTGCTTTAAAGAGAACAAGGCTCTGTGCAGCTCAATTTTGGTTCAAGAAGGGAGAGCAGGAGAGCAAAAGATGTCATTTCAGATGGGCATCTTTTGCAGCAAAAATTGGCACAGCGCAACAATGATCAAAATGATTGGATTTAGATGTGTGCTTGGGTGTGTTTACCTACATCAACGTTGTTTTACTTGTTTTCCTCTCCCCTCCTCCTCCCTGTTTCCTTTTGCACAATGTATTTTTATTGTAAGCCACAGGACTGTATAGAATGCAGGGCTTAATAAACTGTAGGCACAATAAATATTAATTTGCTGATTCATTCATTCTCTGAATGTAGGGGAAAACACTAGAAGTCGGCCGTCAGCGTTGAGTGAGGTCTCCAAAAACTGGTAGTCAATTTCCGTGCCTCTAGGTGGCGATTCATCCTTGAAGAGCAGAGAGCTCTAATCTCCTATCGACTCCTTATTTCCTTTCCACGCCATGGAAGTGTTTTTTGCTGACCAAAGGACAAGGTGGTATAAATATAGAAAGAAGTAGATTTGAGAGGGAAACCTTGCAGATGAGGCATGGCGGCATGCAAAGGCCATTTCATGGGAATGTTTATATCTGTCTCACTCCACTCGTTTAATCGCAGCTGAAGGTCTGTGTCGATAAAAGCAGGATGTCTTTTTGCAAATTTAGAAAGCGGGACAGGAAAAGGCCCCCCGAAGGGTTCACCTTGGGGGGGGGGGGAGTGTCACGCATTGACCATCATGAGCTTATGCAGTTGTGCTGCTCCAGCAAAAGTTGTAGCTGTGCTTTTCCTTGTGAGATCTGGAAAGCAATAAAAAACGGTAGCCGATGTGGATAGGCAGGAAAATTCTACCCCTAAAGGACAATGGAAGAGAACTATGCCCACTTGGGTAGGTCTAGCCCAGGGGTTGTCAACGTGGTCGCTACTGCCCACTAGTGGGCGTTTCAGGATTCTAGGTGGGCGGGAAGGGGTTCTATGGCACAAGCTGAATCCTCCTTCCATCGAGCACTGGTGGGCGGTAAGGAAATTTTACCATCAAGAAAGATGCATTAGTGGGCGGTAGGTATAAAAAGATTGACTACCCCTGGTCTAAGATCTAATGACTTAGATCCCAAATATCTGAAAGACTGACTCCTTCCCTACAGACCTTTCTGGGGGCCGTCTTGGTAGTTTCACCAAGTTCAGGTAGTGGTTGCCCCAGAGAGGATATTTTCTCTGGAAGCACCTAAGTTCTTTGTTGTTGTTGATTAGTGATTTAGTCATGTCTGATTCTTCGTGACCCCATGGACCAGAGCACGCCAGGCACTCCTGTCTTCCACTGCCTCCTGCAGTTTGGTCAAACTCATGCTCGTTGCTTCGAGAACACTGTCCAACCATCTCGTCCTCTGTTGTCCCCTTCTCCTTGTGCCCTTCATCTTTCCCAACATCAGGGTCTATTCCAGGAAGTCTTCTCTTCTCATGAGGTGGCCAAAGTATTGGAGCCTCAGCTTCATGATCTGTCCTTCCAGTGAGCACTCAGGGCTGATTTCCTTAAGAATGGATAGCTTTGATCTTCTTGCAGTCCATGGGACTCTCAAGAGTCTCCTCCAGCACCATAATTCAAAAGCATCAATTCTTCGGCGATCATTCTTCTTTATGGTCCAGCTCTCACTTCCATACATCACTACTGGGAAAACCATGGCTTTAACTATACGGACCTTTGTTGGCAAGGTGATGTCTCTGCTTTTTAAGATGCTGTCTAGGTTTGTCATTGCTTTTCTCCCAAGAACCTAAGTTCTTAGAATCATAGAACTGTAAAGTTGGAAGGGACCACGAAGGTCATTTAGCCCAGCCCCCTGCAATGCAGGAATCTTTTGCCCAAGCTGGGGCTTGAACCCGTAGCCCTGAGATTAAGTCTCACGCTCTACTGGACTGAGCTCTTCAGAAAGCTAGCTTTGTGGAACTTCCTCTGCACAGAGTAGCATCTGGCTTCATCACAGTACAGTTTTCAGCAAAGGCTGATGATGCACTTATTTTTCTGGCCTTTGGCCCCTGAGATGAGTATTTTCAGAGCCCACCCTATTCCTGTGACTGCCAACTGTTCTAATGGTTTTTAATTCTGAATTTTAAATTGTTGTAACCCTCCCTGGGACTTGCTGGTGAAGGGCAGGGGATCAGTAAATCAGGTTACTTTCCAAGATGGGGAGAAGGAATGAAGGGAACTCAAGATCACACCATATTTAATAGCGAAAAGCTCACTGTGTAGCGACTTTTCCTTATCACTCTACCATGCTGAAGTTTTCTCATGGAGATGGTCAGCTTCTGTGTTTCACTGTGTTGCAGTACCTTTGCTCTTTGCCAGACCCCTGAAAAGACAGTGCCTTGATGGGAGCATGGGAGGTAAACGATTAGGTGACTGCAGAGAGACACTATGAGGCCGATGCCAAGGTCTGGGATAGGAATGTTGTTGTTGTTTAGTCGTTTAGTTGTGTCCGACTCTTCGTGACCCCATGGACCAGAGCACGCCAGGCACTTCTGTCTTCCACTGCCTCCCACAGTTTGGTCAAACTCATGCTGGTAGCTTCGAGAACACTATCCAACCATCTTGTCCTCTGTCGTCCCCTTCTCCTT